GAGTGATGAAGACCAGGGGGCTTCGATTCCTGGACAGGATGCGCGCAACCAGATCGCACCAGGATTTGCAGGCCAGGCGCAGTGGGATGGCCCGATCGAGCCCAAGGCGCTCCAAAATCTGGAAGAAGGAATCCTCGTCCAGCCGCTCCATGGTTTTAAAGTTTCGCGGGCAATATAAAATGTGCAAAACCTAACTTTACACCTTTAAGTTAAAATTTTTAAAAGAGGAGCCCAGCCCAGGAACCCTAAAATCTTAGAGGGTTTGCGAAGCATGAGCAATGCCGATCTTGGAGCGCCTCCAGTGGAGGGACTGTCGGGCGGAGGGACTGGCTACGGCTGGGGCGATTGCGGCATCGCCGTCTCTCGCCCTGGATCCGTGGACATCGCCAAGAATCCGGCGTCCGATCTCTTCAGCGTGTGGTGCATGCCGAGCACGGCCACGGTGGGGCACCAGGAGCCCCCGCGGGCGCTAGATCAGGTCAGTGGATCGATTGAGCGCAGCAATTTGGTTCGATCGCAAAGAAAATTGGATCGCTGTGCTTGTTCGCAGTTAAATTTATTGATTGCGAGGAACGAGCGGGAGAGCGCTCAAATCGCTCTTCGCCCGAAAATCTCTTGGGCTTGCGGTGGTGCTGTCGGTCACGTTCAAGTACACTGCAGAGATTTTGTCTCGGTTTCTGGAGATCGGTGGGCTATCGAGCTACTTTCGTGTGGTGATTCTCAAGCGTTCTTCTAGGCTGGAGAGCGTTTCCTTGCGGCGAGTTGTTCCTATACTTGGAGTGCCTGATGCTCTTGTCCCGGTGAGCATGCCAACTTGTCAAGTTTCGCTTTTGCCTGGGTAAGTGAGGCTGCCAATTTTTCTCTCCTAGTTTTCTACTCTCCGTGGTTTGAATTAAACAGGGAAACATCTGCTCTGTGGTTGTCTGTGCATGTTCCGTCGTCGCAAACTCCAGGAGTGTACGAAGGCGAGATGACCTTTAGTGCCGCCAAGGCGGATGCAGAGTAATTCTCTCAATCTCATTGTTGGTCAGTAGCATGTTTGCGAATAGAAGTTTGCAACGAGTGTCTAATTCGCTCGTTCCTTTGTAGGTTCTTTGTTGACGAGGGCGAGAAGTTGGAGCTCAGGAAGATGGTTGAAACTGTGGCTGCTAAAATGGACGATACAAGACAGAATCCGGTATACAAGATCTCTCTTGAGCTGCTGTCCAAGTAATCGCCTTTGTCTAGATGGAATTGCTTGAAGAAGTACGACAGGACTTGCGACACCTGCTTGACCACCCGGCGCTTGCGCATAATGGAAAGATGGAGATAGATGAAGAATCTCTTTCCCTGAAACTGAAGATCAGTATCACGGTCTGGGACTTTGTTCTACCTGTTACGCCAACGCTTCCCGCGGTTTTTGGGGTACGTTTAGAACCTTTCTGGCTCAAGGCTTTACAGCTTGTATCTATTGCCAGGTCTCTGAAACTGTGATTGAAGACCGCTTTAATGTGGAGCATGGCAGTAGTGACTGGTATAATGCTTTAGATAGGCATTACCAGTGGCTGCTGCAGTTCAGAATCAGCCCGTATTTTTGTAGATGGGGTGATAACATGCGTATACTAGCTTATACGTGTCCCTGGCCAGGTACTAGCGGGTTACGTCGTGTTTCACTTACGTTTTTTGTGTTGATTCTCCAGCTGACCATGTCAAGGCAGAGGAATACTATTCGGATCCAAGGCTTGCAGCCTATGCTGTTCCTTATGCTCCTGTTCTTTCCAAGTAAGCCTAACGATGTTTATGCCTTTTTGAGGTGCTAAGCTATGTGACAGCTCGAATGCAGTCAAGGATCTCGTGACAAGGGAGATCGAAATTCTAAGCACAAAAGAGCACTGGCGGAAGTCGTATTTTTATTTGTGGGACGAGGTATTGTAACGAATAACTGTGGGTTGACGTTTGTACTGGCCACTTTTTTGGCAGCCTTTGAGCTCGGACCAATACGATTTTATCCGAACAATGTCAGAAGAGATCAGGTCAATTGCGCCAAACACTCGAATTTTAACGACTTATTATTCTGGTATTTGGTTTCCTAGTCTTCTACTGATTCGAGCATCTGTTTTACCAGGTCCAAGCGACGTGCAATATCCACCTGGGAGTTTTGAGGCGTTTATCAAAGTTCCATCGTTTCTACGGCCTCACACGCAAATATTTTGCACGAGGTAGCAATGTTTCACGTTTTACACATTAAAAAGATCCATGCTTTGTCTCGCAGTGAATGGGTGTTGGGAGGTCGCGAGGACCTTGTCAAAGAAATCGTAGCGGAACTGCAACCCGATCAACGCGAGGTAAAGTCTTGACTGCGTACTTGAGTTCAATAGAAACACTGTACTTGTCTTCAGGAATGGTGGACTTACGTTTGTATGGGGCCGTCTGATCCTCACCCAAACTGGCACCTTGGAATGCGAGGTACGCAACAACGTGGGGTTCTCTGGCGAGTGTGGAAAGAAGGAGGCTCGGGATTCCTCTACTGGGGTACGAATTGCTACGAGAAATCACTCTGTCCTGCTGCTGAGGTTTGTAGATCATCATCTTTCAGTGCCTGACCATAACAAGTGTGCTTTTTCTTCCTCCAGATACGTTTCCGTCGAGGCTTGCCTCCCGGAGATGGCGTTTTGTTCTATCCCGGGGAAGTTTTCACCCCAGGCAGCAGTGAGCCGGTTTCTTCAGTACGCCTCGAAAGAGTTCTAAGTGGACTCCAGGTACAAAGTTCACGAAAGAAAAAAAGGAAACCAAGCTTCGTTTTTTTGATGGTGACAGGACTTGGAGTATCTCAATCTCTACGCTTCCTGCTTTGGGAAGCCGGCGTCCGTGGCGCTGCTGGAAAAGTGTGGCGTGTATCTGGGGCCCGAGCGATACACGCAGGATCACGCAGCCATCGACGCGATGAGAACCGAAATCTATTGCTCATGCCGGAGTTCATCGTAAGATCATATCGGTAACCTCTCATAGTTTTCCCGCAAATCTGTTTCTTCGAGGGCCACTTGTGATTGTGAAGCGGCATCTCGTCTCCTCCGCTAGGATTTGTTTTTTGTCCCATTTTTTTGAATGAACCGTGCCTCTATTTTCTACTATCGCTTTAAGAATTTTTCTATTTTTCTTCCTTCGTCCATGGCGAGGAGGCATTGGCTTGGCGCTGCTTGGCTTTGCCTCTTGGCGCTGGGCTTGCAAGAGCTTGGCATCGCGAAAGGCGAGCCATCGGCCATCATCGTGTTTGGAGACTCCACTGTCGACACTGGCACCAATTTCTACTCGCCCGCCACGCCTTTCAACTTCCAGGCCAACCGCTACCCGTATGGCTTCAAGGGATTCCAGGGCCAGGCCACTGGGCGATTCACCGAAGGCCGAGTTATCATCGATTTCATCGGTGAGTTCGTTCTTTCCTCCAAAAAAAATTCGTTTGTTCCTCCCAAAGTTTTTCTTGTCTATAATCTTTCTTTCAAAGTTCTCAGCCTCATAGCGGCCATGGAGAAAAGCTCAAGCTACGATAGCATTTCTCCTTTTGCCTTTATAGACCCTTTTGCTTTTCGGGAAATGCTCCTCTTTTTACTCGTGAACTTCTCATGATCTTTTTTTTCTTTTTTTCTCATAGCCGAGTACGCTGGCTTCCCTGTTGTGGAGTCATACGCGAAACCCGACGCGTCTCTAGCTCGAGGAGCCAACTTTGGATCCGGAGGAGCCGGTGCTCTTGATGACACCAACGAAGGAATGGTAAGTGACTCCTTCCGTACACCTCCAGGATCATCCAAAGTTCTTCGCAGGTAACTCCGCTTAGCAAGCAGCTGGAGAACTTTGCGGACTTCTGCGGCAACGTTTCCAAGGAGAGGAACCTGGTCGAGTACGAGGAGTTCCTCTCCAACGCCGTCTATCTCATCAGCATTGGCAGCAATGACTACTTGAGCGGCTACTTCAGCCATCCACACCTCCAGCAAGCTTTCACGCCGGAGCAATTCGTCACCATGGTTGTCTCCAATATCACCAAAGCGATCGAGGTAACCTCCAAGCTTTCATCACGCTCTCCAGTTTCTTTGGATACCACTATGGTTTCTTAACAGGTTCTCCACTCCAAGGGAGCTCGAAAGATCGTCATGTTTGGAGCTGGGCCTCTGGGATGCTTGCCACCTCTGCGGATCGTCAATGGCAGTGGTGGCTGCCACGAACCGGCCACTGCGCTGGGACAAGCTCACAACTACGCGCTCGGCCTCGCCATCCAGCGGTTGCGGCAAATCCATCCCGACTCCATCATTGTCCGCGCGCATTTCTACGATTTCTTCGAAGAACGGCAGAATAACTTTGGAGCTTACGGTACGTGATCGATGCTTTCTTAAGTTTTCTTTCTTGGACTTGGAAGTTTTTCTCGTTTCCTGTGTGTTTCTCGTTCGAAGTTGTTCGTGGTTTCCTTTCGTAGTTTTCTTGTTTTCGTATACTTGTTTTGCTTTCTCGCTCGAAGTTTTTTCGTGGTTTCGCTTAGTTTTCTTGTTTTCCTCTAGAGTTTTTCTATCTTAGAGTTCCTCTCGTTGCTTCTTAAACTCTTCCTCTCCTTTGCGAATCCAGGATTCAAGGAACCCGCACAAGCTTGCTGCGGAGCGGGGCCTTTCCACGGCCGTGGACACTGCGGGATCGAGAGCGTGGATCCGGAGCTGAGCTACGAGCTTTGCGAGGAGCCATCGTCCCACGTATGGTGGGATCCTTATCATCCCTCAGAGAGAGTTCACGAGCAGTACGCTCAAGCTCTGTGGCGCGGGAACGCGACGGTGATCGAGCCCGTCAATCTGGAGCAGCTCTTCCACTCCTCGTCATCGAGTGGTCGCATGGAGAATCCAGGAACACCCTCTTTTGCGTTTCCAGAAATGATCTAGCGAAGCTTTTTTCATTTCTTAGAGCTGCCAAAGTTTGTGCTCGTCTTAGATTTGATCTCTGTTGCGAGCACGGCATAAAGAGAAGCTTGGCATCTCTCATCTTCAAAGGTGTCTTTCAGAGATCTCCATTTGTCACGTCGTGGCTATGGTTTCGTATTGAAGTAGTGTTGCATGTGTGGACTGCTTCGAACTTCGCCAAAAGAGACCCAGTCTTTGTCCGCACTGCGCAAAACAAAGAAAAAGTGTCAACTTGGAAGGTTTTGATAGGAGAAGCTTACAGTGATTTTGTGAGGTCGCTCACAGTCTGGGGGGAGATGTCCCTGTCTCTTTTGGCCATAAAGAACAAAACCTTGAAGAAGAGAGGCACTGACATCTTACCACCTGTTTTGTGTCCAAAGACTTTGAAGAGCGCATCAATAACCGCTACGAAGCTCTGTTTTCACACAAAAAAAAAATCCATCCACACCATCAGATCCAGTGTAGCAAAAAGAGCACCATTCCCAACTCTTACAGAAAAAAAGAAAGAAGAAACTTAGAAAAGAGAACCTTTGCTGTTGTGGTGACGAGCAGCACGAGAATCTCCTTTGGATCGACGGGGTCGGATGGAAACTCGATAAGCTGGAAGACTTTGGAGAAGGCGGCCGAGGCAATGCCGTGAGAGGCGCAAATCTCGCGGAGAGTTTCGGGGTTCATGGATTCCGTGTCCTTGAGATCCACCCATACTGCTTGGAGCTAGGTAGCCACAAGAAAGAGAAAAACACATTCCAGCAAAGTCATGCATTGGAACATCAAAGAGAAAACGAGAACCAAACTCTAGAAAACCTCCTCGGAAGAAACGGGAAACCAAGAAGCGCCAACCAGGGAGAGGAGATCTCAATCGGGAGACTTGCAAGGAGTGGAAACTAAAGGAGAGAGAAAGCGCAAAGCTTACTTGGGCGAGCGTGGGAGGAGGCGCGGTGGCGTCCAATTTGGCGGTGGCGAGGAGGCGCTGGAAGTAAGTGCAGGCAAACTCGTGGAGGCAGGGCGGCTGCAATCGGATGGCCTCCTTGGCGAAGCCCTTGAGAATGTCGGGGAGCGCGGGAGGGATCTGGATTTGCTCCACGCAGTAGATGGGGTCGTAGTCGAGATCCATGCTGGTGGAAGTTAGAATTAGGGCAAAAACCGGGGCCCGCTTTGAATTTGCTCTTATTTTATACAATTGGAAAGGGTGATGCTGGCGCAAACACCGCGTGACGACTCTGGGACCTTCTCCATCAAGGCCTCCAAACGCATGTAAAAATATTTTTTGCTAGCAGGGCCAGCGATCTCCGCCCAGGAAGATGGGAAGCGATGGATCTCTGCATAACGGCGTATAAACCATGGATAATCAATAATCTCTTTCCAAGCCTTGCTAACAGCTCTAGCTTTCAGCAAAATCGGCATCGGGAGCCACAAAAGGATATCGACGTTCCTTTCCATAGTCCGAGTTTTACATGACTTAATAGGCTTATGGTACAAAAAAGGTAAAACTATAATTTTCTTAAACATCTCTTTAAATGTGTCCAAGTTTAGCTTAATCACTGTAGCAACTAAAGATTGACTATAGCTGGTCAAGGAGTTCTTGGAGTCCGGTAGTGCAGCTCAGTTGAACCTAGTATCAACAGATAAGATGAATTCTACGAGAATAAAAAGGATTGAAAATGCGATCTCACAATTGGGTGCACCACCAGCTCCGCATGGGTTCGTGGCGGGTTGAGCTCAATCGAATCAACCTCGTAGCCCAGCGCCTTGATGTGCTCCAGCGCGGAGACGAGCGCCGCTTGTTCCACCCTGACGCGAATTCTCGTGCCGCTGCTGCCGCTGCTCGTCTGCTGCTGCTGCTGCTGCTGCTGCTCCGGCTGCTTGGAGGTGATGGAACCCTCGCCGCGCTCCGATCGACTGGCAGCGCAGTCCGTCCGTAGCTCCTGGACGTATCGTATCGCGCCTTGAAGGATGGACAGCTTGTCTCTCTGTTTGGTCGGAGATGAGATGAGAGCTCCGAGGAAATGAAATCTAAAGAGCTATGTATCTTACCTTGGTGGGGAATGGCAGGAGCGACTTGAGCGCTGCGAGAAGCTCGGCCTCGCGCCGCCTCCTCTGCCTCTCGGCGATCATGTGGCGGCTCCGGATGGGGGAGAAGTTCTCCTCGTTTTGCAGGCCGGATTCCTGGTCGGAAACCATGCCTTCATCCTGCTGTTGCTGCTGCCGCTGCTGATTTTCTCGGTGTGGTTGTTGCTGGAATTGTTGCTGATTGTGGAGTCTCTGTTGCTGCTGGAGCTGGATCTCTTCATCCTGCTGTTGCTGCTGTCGGTGCTGATTTTCTCGGTGCGGTTGTTGCTGGAATTGTTGCTGATTGTGGAGTCTCTGTTGCTGCTGGAGCTGGATCTCTTCTTCCTGCTGGATCTGCTGCTCGAAATCGAAGAGCAGCCGCTGGATCAAGTCGCCCATCTCTCCGCGATTGCTCTGCTGCGCCCCTTGCTCGTGGAGGAGATTACTCTCCATATCTTGGCTCGAGCTCCAAAATCTGGGGCTGAATCAAAATCAGCTCCTGGCGCTGATCTGTCTCCCTTTGTCCCAGATTGTCGCAATGGATTGTGGAAGCTCTGCTCTCCTTGGAGCGCTTATAAAGTCCAGGGAGTGGGCAGCTGCCAGGAAGCTTCCTGACGCACCAACGTCATCGCTGTGAACGCATCTGGGTCGTCGAAAGCATTCGCGTGCCCCAATGCAAAGGCGCACGTTGTTCTTGCGAGCAAAGACATTTCCAAACATACGAGCGACAAACGGAATGGATCAAAGCGTGGTAATTTGAGAGTCAAAACGTTTTACAGAAATCCCCTTTTCTTTGATAAGAACAGAGTCAAGAAAAGAACATTTGGAGAGCAAACACCAAACGAATCTTTTCTCGCCATTTTCAATCGTAGCTAGCATTCAAAAACTTCAAGAGCTCGTTGCGCTTCGTCTCCGCAGCTCTGTCTTCTTTGCTCTTTTCAACCTTGAGTTGAATCTGAAAAAAAAAAGGAAAAACAAGAGCCCCACAGTGAAACAGACATCACAAAATCGAAAGAACCAACCAGTCACGGACCTTTTTACCCGAAACAACGCTTCGACGAACGCCGTCGTCCTTTGTCCGACCCAGGAACTGTTGCCACAAGGAGAATAGCATATCTTAATCCCAGAAACGCAAGAAAAAAAGAACCAAAATTACCTTGGACAATTGCACGGGACCATTGCTTTCATCGCTCGATTTCTGCGTGTAGCTCCAGAGTTGCCAAGAGGAAAAAAAATATAAGAGCCCCCACATTCACAGCAGCATCAAAGGAGTAAGGTCCCATGATGCCATACGTTGGGCAAACAATGTTGCAAACCACAGCTCCGATGACGGAACGGCCCAATGCATAGGCAGCAAACGCGTATCAAAATCCTTGCTCTAAACAAAAAAAGAATCGTACCTCCCGCTTGTGCTTCCTGCTCTTGTGCTTGTGATTTCTCTCCTTCAAACCATCCTAGAAAGCCAAAGAGAGATTTTTACAAAGGGGGACAAGGAGAAAGGAAACAAATGACCTTCTTGTGTGATCTGTGAAGCTTCTCCTTCTTCCTGCGCTTCCGCTTCTCGGAATCGTAATCGGTGTCACTCTCGCTGCTCGAAGCATCACCTCTGCCATGGATCGAAGAGCTCGAGGTCAACAATCACGCACTACAAGCAAAGAAAAGAAGGACTAACCGGTGCTTTCGCTTCGCGCGTCTCATCCGGCCACCGCCGCTGTGTGCATCGCTGTCGGAGGAGCTGCTGCTGCTGGCGCCGCTGCTGCCGTCGGCGGAGCTCGCGTCGTGGCGGCGGCTGTGCTTCCTGCGGCGATGCTTGAGGTGGTGATGCCGCGACAGCGATTCCGAAGAGCCGGAAGTCGAAGAAGACACCGCCATTGCGAGACCACAAAAACCCTAGACTAGAACTAGGGCTCTTGAGGCACACTAAGATTAGCACAATCCTAGCCGTTGCTAACATAATTCCGGAGAATATCCACTCATGTCACAGTATATTCGCTTCAATTGAGATGTACAGTCGTTTCGTTTATTTTCTTCTAAAAAATTTGGCCATTTTTCTCTCCAAACTTTTAGGATCATCTGTGAGATCCTCCGTCGTAGATTGTCCTCGTGTTGTAGGAGCCACACTTTTGGCACTTGTGGTATAGCCAGTGGAATGGCGCTGTTCCTTTTTGCTCGCAATCGTTGCAGAGTATGTCCTGGAACAAACAAACTTTAGAGCACACTTTCCTTTGGTTGTGAGATTTTCACCTGGACGCGGCCCTGGTATTCCTCCGGAAGTTGCTCAGCCGCCAACAAAGCGTCCAGCATCCCGAAGTAAACCTGGATCATTGTCGAGTGTTAAGAAACGATCGACCGCAATACAAAGAGAGAGCGAGATAGAGAACTTACCGCCATATCTCCCAAGGATTTGCAACAGACGGGGCATGTATAGTGGCAGCAAGAGTATGCCTGTCGCTCCAAATTGTCAGACAAGAAGTGAATGAGAAAATCTGGAAATGATACCTGGAAACAGTCGGAGTGCATGAAGTGATTGCAAGGAAGAGCTTTCACGGGGCTGCTTGATGTGAAGAGAAAGTCATGGCAAATCGGACAGTTCGATTCCAGGCCTTTCTCCCTGCACTTGTGGTCCTTCAAGGACACGTGCATGCACGCATTGCAGGTCATGCAATGGAAATAGTCGATGCCCAGGCCCTTCCCCTTTCTGCAGAGGTTGCAAAAGGGGCAGTGATAGATGTCCCTGAGAAAGATCGAAAGCCAAAGGATTAGAAAAACGATTCTCTGCGAGTATGAAACTGGCTCTGACCTTGTGTCGTCATCGAAGAACTTGCAAATGTTGCAGTAATACCTGGCCATTCTGAAGCCGGAGCATTCAGGATTGTGACAGGATTCTGCGACTGGTTGTACTTCAAGGCACTGCATACACAGCATTTCCTTCGTTTCATGCCTGCTATTAAAAAACAAGAGACTGCTGAGTATCTGCTTGATAACCGAAACAGCACAAGAGTACCTGTTCATGGGATGGTCACTCGCTCTGTCATGACAAAACCGGCAAACGAAAAGCGAGCCACAGCAAGCGGCCCGAATCTTGCAGTTCCTTTTGTAGTGCTCGCAACCGTATATACCTTTGACGGGATCATGATAGGACCGGCTGCGCCCAGGAATGTCTTCAGACGTATCTGTTTCTTGTAAAGAATGCTGCTGAGCGGCAATCCAGCGACTGAAAAGAAAAGAAAGTATTAGAAATGGTGACAATCAGCGGGCAAGCTACATAAAACTTGAGAGGAGCTAACCTGGTCATCAAATTTTGTATAAGGTACGCTTTCCTCCGAGGATCCAGGGAACTGTCACTAGAAACCTTACGGATGGCAGCCTCTAGTTCCTTCTGGTTCATTCTAAAGATGTACTGCCATCCCGGTTTAAACTTTCCTGTGTCCGCTTCAAGCTTTTGCGGTTTGTCCTTCTCGTCACTTCTCATGCAGCAGTGTTGAGCGGCATCGTACTTTGAGCAACTTTTGCAGCTTTCAGATTTAGTATCAGAGTCACCAGGTTCTTCCGGCTCAAGAGTCTCGCCCGACTCCCCTTCGTCGTCTTGCACGGTAGACTCCTTTGTCGAATCTTTGGCAAAGTAATCAGCCACCAGTTGCAAGGACTCGCTAGAGCCGGAAGGTGGTGTCGAAGGATCCCTTGTAGCTGGAGGAGACGAGGGAGACGACTTAAGTGAGCTATCTCCCCACCACGCGCTCAGCCATTTGTCAAACATCGTGTTTTTCGTAGCTTGTCTCCAAGACTCCATCATCCCAGTTTGCTCACCATCTGTGAGAGCCGCCGTAACCCATGGGATCATTGATTGTAAAACCTCTGCACCTGTAGTCCCGACTATTCTACCAACTATCCTATCCTGCTCCTCAAAAGTGAAATGCCTGTCAAAAAGAGGCCAGAGTTCAAGTTCCTCCCTTGCAACATGATGATCCAGGCTACACCGGACGGACTTGCACATGCCTTGAAGCTTCTGAGCCAAGTCTCCCCGTTTCTCTCGAATAGCGTTGATGTTCGATTTCTCGAGCAGGCAATCCGGGATATAGAGACGTGATAACTCTTCCAGAAATCTCGCAATCTCTTCAAAAAGGTGCTGCTCCTGTTTATGGTCCAACGAGTACGAGTGGCTGACGTTGTGAAGAGCTTCTTTCTCTTCCAAGGCTGGAAAAACGATGTCGTCTTCGGCGTTACTGTGGGCTTTGTAGAGACCCCATAAGAAGTGAAACCGTCCAGTGAACTGCCTGAGGAACGTTTCGTCACAACTGTCTAGCTTGGCAGACTCCAAGTCCAAGTACTCCATGTCTTTCCGAATGGCTTTGTGGAACTGAAATATATGGTCGATCGGCTTTGGTTCTACTGGTAACGTGCTGTCAACTTTCCCCCAACCAAAGAGACTGCATCCCAAAGAAGAGCTTTTCGGAGAGCTGAGCGGCTTGCGGACAGGAACTCTGGCAATCCCAAGGTTTGGACATTTCATTCCCAGTCCTGGGACGCAACACTGCTTCAATACAGCATTTTTGCAAGACGTCGAAGAGCCTTCACTGTCTCCAACATCTCGAGGGCGCTTTGACCTTGTAGAGCCGGCAGACGAAGTACTTTCCTCATTGCTGACCTGCTCAAGCTCCAGCATTTTCACAGGACACTCGTGTGCTTCCCCGGAATATATACACTTGAAACTGTCTGAGTTTTGACGGTACCCCTTGCATGCCCAGCCGGAAAAGAGCGCAACAAGGTGCTTGTCAGAAACCGGTGCTGCATAATAAAACGCCAATAAGAAAGTAACATCAACACAAAATAGAATACATGAAAATAAATAGAGCTACCTGCCAGACACATATGGTGCAGCATATCTCTGGTTTCCTTGTCACTTTGCATTTCCACAAACCAAGGTAAAACTCGTTCAAGCATTCTCAAAGGCATAACTCTTAGGCTTCGGTATAAAAGAACACGTTGCTCCTCAATCGTGCAATGCTCTTGAGCGAGAGAAATCAACTATATCACGAAACTAAAGAAGTCAGCTCATGGAAACCACATAGACACGATGATACCTTGAGCTCCGGGTTGAAGTAGTGCTCCCGTATGGTTTGAATAACGTACTCTACCTCAATACAAAGCTCATCGGCTTTCCCTTCAAGGTGTCCAATGGCTAGAATGCCATCCGCTAAACGTTGAACCATTTCCAGGTGTTGGTTATCTTCTTCAACGTTTGCTCTCTGACCAACTGCCGGACTGAGTACTTTATCTTCCGCAGCACTGACCAAAAAAGATAATTAACAAGTTCGAAGCATTATAGAAAACCATACCTATGGAAGATACACACTTCGACCAGAAACCTCAGCCGGTCCACGAACGAAGACAATGTAGATGGCGACGCAGACCGCAATAGTTTAACCTCCTCCGCGAGCCTCTCCATGTCCTTCTTGATAGCATCGTTCCACAAAAGCAATTTGTTTATAGGAAATTTGCGTTGGTGGTCTCCTGATAAGTCATCCGGTTGTAAGGCCTCCTGTTCCATACTTGACATTTTCGTGCCCGAAGTCTCCCTTCCTTTTAGCCATGCAAAAATCACCTGCAATGGCCTATCTGAACGCCGGTGATAGAATAGAGTTAGTCCATACCTGTTGGAGAAGGTGTTCACTAGGTACAATCCTCCGCATACAAGCTATCATTTGGTCTCGATCTTCCAGTGATAGGGACGAAGCCAGCCAGGGAAGAAACAATTCCATCAGGTTCACCGGTATACTACAGAGAAACTGCCAAACGAGCGCGGCTTGTTCGTCATAAGTGAAGTGCTTCACAAGTAAAGGAAATACCTGACAAAGAAAAACTGTCAAGTTAGAGTTTTGATAAGATAAAAGCACAAGGAACAAACAACACATACTTGTTCTTCTTCTTTGCACAAATGCTGGACAAGAGTCGTTAGCAGTGCTTCCGTGCAGCACACAACATTCCGGATGCTCTCCTTCAAACCATCGTCTTTAACCGCGAGCACCGCGTTGAGAAGCTCGAAAAGCTGCTCGAAAAGGTTGCCCTCCACTTGATGCTCCAAGGAATACGAATGCGCGACGTTCTTAACGCGAAGATCGAGCGCTGGCAAAATTACCTGATAGAGAAGATGAAAAGAGCCCGATGGAAAGTAGAAAAAAAACAAATAAACGAACCTCGTCTTCTGCGCTACTATGGTGCTCATACACACTGCGCAGGAATTGGTAGCGCCGGATCAGTCCTTTGATCTCCTGGTCGCTGCCCTTGGCTATTTGCAGAGCATCGCCGTGCAATTTCTCCAATTCCGCTCGAATCGCCTTGTGGAAGTACATGAACTGCATAATCGGTGGCATGACATCGTCCTCTGACTCCGCCGCCGGCTCGACGATCGGCACGGCGCTAGCTAGATCGACAATCACAGGGCTCGCCATCGCCAGGGCAAGCTCAAGAACACCAGACGGCAAATCTGTCCGCCAAACCTGGAGAGGTAGCAAAGGAGAAGGCGCTGGACGGGCATCCGAGACGCATTATCCAAATGCAAAGCATTTTTCTCTGTGAATCCTGTGAATTTAGATCGCTAGAATGTAGAACCCGCGCATAAACCCTAGCTAACGCCTCTCTCTCTCTCACTCCCGCCCTAAATAAGAGGCTGAAATACCTAGGCCCAGAGAAGCAAGACTTTGCTAAACGTTTCTTCTAGCTAGTTTTTGAAGAGCGCCGCAACATGTGACCTCCACGATGCGGCGCCGCAGCGGCACGAGGGAGGTATTTTCGGCGACATAGTAGCATTTACTTTGCCCGGTAAAACCACGCCGCGATAAGAATCGCTGACGTGGCGTTGCCCGTGCAACTGGGAAGCTGTCCGCGTGTGGGCACGTGGAGATTGGCCTCGGCCACGACCACTACACACCGTCCGTACAACTTACGTGGGTCACAGCGCCCAGGTCATTGTAGGGTTTTTGCGATGATCAATGTAGCACCGCCTAGGGTTCTAGCGCCAAGAAGCAGGGCGCTATCGGGAATTCCACTCCGCGCATTGTCGAAATCGTGCTCCATCTCGGGTCCGCCGGATGATTTCAGCTACAGGGAAGCGGTGTCGATGGACACTGAGGAGATCGTGGGGACGCGATGGCCTCAGCTGATTGATATTGTGCGCGAGGGATCACTCGTAGCGGTGAGGAATGTGAATGCGGGTGAAAATGGTGAGCCGGAGCTGGTGATTCTCGTCGGGACTGCTCATGTGTCCCAGGTTTCGGCGCAACAGGTCGAGCGCGCGATCAAGACAATCCGTCCCGATAATGTCGTTGTGGAGCTCTGCAAAAGCAGGTAAGCATGTAGCACTCTATCTCTAGTAAACAATGGGTGAGGATTTTGGATGCCGCAGGATTGGAATTATGTATTTGGATCCGTCAATGGCGAATTCCACCGCGAATTTCTTATCGTTGACAGGCACGGATCGCAATGCAGCTTTGGCTCGTAGTTTTAATCTCGGTAATCTATCTTTTATTTAAAATATAGCTTCCATTCGATTTCATTTTTTGTTTTCTCAGGTGGGAGATCAGCATTTTTTCTGAGATTGCTGCTTGCCAGTGTTTCAGAAAAGATTTCTAAGTCTGCGGCTGTGCCAGTTGGCGAAGAGGTAAGACAGTTCATTGACGTAAAAGCTGGATATTCATGGCGATTGCTTCTTACAGTTCAGGGCTGCAAGAAGAGCAGCGAAAGAAGTTGAAGCTCAGCTTGTTTTGGGTGATCGGCCTATTGAAATCACTGTAAGTGTAGTTTTGCCGGGAGCTACTTGTTAATGTTTTGTGTAGTTTCTGTAGTTGAATCGCGCATGGCGCGCTTTGACGTGGAAGGAGCGTCTGCGTCTTGCTAACACGTTCTTGCAGACATTCCTGTTTGCCAATGTTGACGCATCAGAAGCAGCGTTGAAGGTGAAGGCTTTTATGGATTATAATTTACTGTTTCTGACTTTGTTAATGCAGTCGATGAAGTCCGACGATGTGATTTCAAGCATGTATTCATTTATGAGCTCTCAGTTTCCTTCTCTATTGCGACACCTCGTTTGGGAGCGCGATCTGGTGCGCTTTCTTTTAGAATAGTCACTTTCCTTTGATGTAGTCGTTTGACACTTAGCTTTGTTGTACAGTATATGGCGTGGTCTTTGAAGCGCAGCAAAGCAGTTACGGGCTGCAAGACTGTGGTTGGAGTTATTGGAAGGGGTCATCTCTCCGGAGTAGTTTACGCTCTCCTTCACAGTCAGGAACACTTGAGTTTCCGGGACCTGGTCGGTAAAACTGAAGACTCGATAGCAGATCCCTTCAGAATTTACAGAGGCATTATTGCCGAAGGCATACTTGGGCTTCTTCTATGGTTGCTCTACAGCTACATTAGCGCGAACTTGGCTGTGTAGTCCACCAAATGTTCCTCAGTCAGGCTGTTAGCTATTTACAGCACGGGCTGGGAAAGTACTCTCTTGACATGGTTGGAGAGTTTGGCCTGTACTTTATTGGTACCTGGAAAGACGTTCATAATTCTGGCCGCATTGAGAAAGAGCTGCTTGCAAGCTTGTGGCAGCGCGCCGGGCTGCAGAGTTTCGTACAGAAGCTTCTGCATGTTCTTGTTCGCAAGTGCTTGGACCTCACTTAGTGCTTCACTTTCAGTTAACTGAGGATTCTCTTCAAGGTAGATGGTGATACTGTTGAGGCTTGAATCCACCTGGAAAAGCTCGAATGGTGGTAAGGTATTTCCTATTTCGTCTATTTCTTCGGGTTTACCTTGTCCGTGTGTGTATCTTGTACCAGGCGTGAAGCAGTGTTCATCATTTGGCAAATGGCCGAGTCTTTTATGTCTCCGGTGGTGGCGAGCGTTTCGCCGACGAAGTACATAGTGCTCCGGACAGCAGGCTCGATGCTTGAATGTGAGGCCTTTAGATATTCCTCCAAAGTTGGATTGTTGTCTGACATTTTCCACTTGGTTCTCTGCAGTAGGCTCGATAGCCACGTTTTCCACTGCCAAAGCAAATATTGATCAGATTTATCAACGCTTCTCACCGAAAACACTTACGATTTCTCGCAGCGCTCCTCCTATACTCCGGCCTTGGTACAAGAAGCCCTGCTTGCTATGGTTTTGAACGATGTTATAGAGCTCGACGAACAGTATTTTCACTTCGGCGGAGCAGTTTCCAAGCGAGTTCACGTTCCACCTGTGCATCAGCTGTCAGATCTCGAGTGGCATTGAATTTGTGGCGTGAATTACCTCTCGACATTGTTTATGAGATCCTCAAGTTCTTTGGTGGACCCCAGGTAGTCAAAGTATTCATTAATACCGAGTGATATGAACCAGCATTGCGACCATATAATCCTTGCTGCTGAGAGCTCCGGCTCGAAGATGGTTGCGGCAGCTGAATAGAACGTGTGCTCCAGTTTGCTGCGGGAGAATCCTTTGAACATTGACAGGCTGCTCTCGTCGTACCACCTGTGATGGATTTCGGGTGAGTATATCTTGTTTTACATATATACTTTCACCACCTTTCAAGTTGCTGAAATTCTTTTCTGTGCAAAGCCTGACACATGTTGAAGTCTGCCTTCGCGAGCTCTAGGAAAATTGAATTGTTGACGAAGGGCATCCTGTATCAGTTACAGGAGTTAGCTGGCAGCGTTGATTTCCGTGAAAAGATTCTCACCTGTAGAGGCTCTTCCCGATCCAGACATCGTCAGCCGCGTACTGATCGATATATCTTCTTGTTGCCAGTCTTTCTAATCTAGCATGCATTGGGTTGTCAAGCGCAAACTCGACCTGTAAAGTGTTCACAGGTCAGTTTTGTTTTGTGACATGCTCTAACGCAGACCTCTCCTGGCAGATCTTTAGAGATAATCCACTTGTCGTACAGCTGATTCTCTCGGCGTTTTCCTTCGAGAAACTTTCTGGCAAATGAGCCTGCTTCTTCCAGGATTGTTTCGCCAGGAAACATCAGTTGAGAAGCCCGGTACAAGTTGTACATTCCTGTCACTGCTTGACCCGCTTGCCCGCTGAAGCAGACGAAGGAATCGCCCTCTTGGAAGTTTTTAAAGGCGTCTGTGTTGCACAACATGAGAGGTGAAGAAAGAAGCGGGTATGGCTTGGTGAGTACCTGGTGATATGTCGTATCCGTGACTTCGCAAGAGCCGGAAGGCCATGGAAGTATCGTCAGCGTCTTGAACAGGTGAACCTCTGGCCCATGCTATTCCTTTGTCTGTCCAGTATCTGTTACAAGTTCTCACGTTGTGTGTTTGTCATAGGTGGTACTACGCATACACACCTGTACACGTAGTCAAGAGCTGATTTAATCTCTTGAGTGAAGTAGCGAGAAATTCCCAGGCGTTGTAAACGGTCAACTACCCAGAGATGCTCAAACAGATCCACTGGGTATCCACCTGGTACTGTCGAGAAACAAGAGTTTTTACGTCAGGAGTTCTCGGAGGTAAAGTTTCACACCTGCGCAGTTGAATCTCTTGACGAGGTTGTTCAGGTACTGCAGGCATTTCTCGTTTCCCGTATGCATCAGTGCGCATGCTGTGGAGGCGGGGCTGAATAGCAGTGAACCATCTGGTGACTGCAGTTTTATGACCTTGTCCCAGTCTATAGTCTTATAAAGTCCTTCCAACGAATACAGGAGAGTGGTCGGATAGTTTTGGACCACATTCATGGGTATTCTGCGTGCGGGTATCATGTCAGTAAAGTTTTCTCAAGTTGAAACATTTTCTATGTCTAACCTTTCAAGTTTCTTCTTCCTTTCAGCATAAATTGTTTGGAGCATGGGCGCTGTATAGTCGATGTCAAGCTCGAGTGCCATGGCCTCCTCTATCATTGCCGGAAACACAATTTCAAATCCTATTGGCATGTGAGTACTGTCCTCCATCTCCATCTCAGGCATAGTTTTGCGAATAAACTCGAGGGCTGAATGAGAATGAGATGGTTAGTCATTGTTTTTCTTCTGAAAGTGATTACTTAGTTACCTTTGTGAATAATCTTGTCTCCGGTGTTCCAGGTTTTGAGAGCTATTGCACATGCCAGTGTCGAACAGATGCGATCACACGTAAGAAACAAGTCTCTATCACCCCAGGATCCATCCTCGAGCTGATTGACCATGATCCAGTTTAGGCACATGGGAAATTGAGGCGTGTTGCTGCCATCCAAAGCTGGTACTCGTGCCACCCAAGCCGTATCGTAGGCTGACACGGATATCTCCCCGTCGTGCAGAGAGTTCAACATGCTTCTTACGGTTTCGACGAGTTCCCACTTTCGTCCGCCATCAGTCGCTGGAATTGTCTGCAGACCAAGAAGAATTCCGATCAGGACCTCCGGCCTTACGGGATCTTGCAGAACATACTTCTGGGACTTGCCGAGGTGTTGAAAGCTTCCGTGCGGGAGTTTCCACGCGAGATGAAACTGGAGATAGTGTTAAGTTAGCAGCAAGCTCACAACCGGGTGAGTTAGTTCTCTTTCATACCTGGAACTGATGCGGTCGGCACTGCAGGTAGTGAAGGCGTGGTTTTGGAAGCATCGTCGTGGCCTGGGAACAAAGACAAGAAGTTAGCCGCAGGAGTCATCACAGGAGTGAGTGCCTTGGTCTCCTTACCTCTCGCTTCTAGTTTCTGTGCTACAACACCACGACTTACAGGCGTCGTCCTGCAGAACATGGAAGAGGAAGAGGAGGAGGCAAGGAAGGCTGCATTCCATACAGTTCCAGCGGCAGAAACAGCAGCTGCTGCTGCCATTTGCGGCTGCTCCGCCCGCCTTTCCTCTCTCTCTGTGCCCCTGCCTGGAGCAAAGGCAAGGAGGAGCAAGAATATATCGGAGCAATATCTGAGCAGCAGCTGGAGCAGAAGCAGGAAAAGGGCTAACCTTTCAAGTTTCTTCTTCCTTTCAGCATAAATTGTTTGGAGCACGGGCGCTGTGTAGTCGATGTCAAGCTCGAGTGCGATGGCCTCTTTTTTTTGCGCGAAACACAATTTCAAATCCGTACTGTTCTCCCATCTCCATCTTAGGCATAGATGATTAGTCATTGTTTTTCTTTTGGCTTGGCTTGTGGCTTGTCCCTTGTCTAGGGCCAGCTCTAGTGAACTTGAGTGTTTGGTTTCTGACACAAACCATAGGAATATTTTAAGAATATTTCATGGTAACATTTTAAGGGCTTAGGGTTTGCTCTCTTGTTTGTTTCATTAATATCGGAGTAATATGTTCTTTTGGGGATGGTAGGTGTAAAATATTGATCTTGGTGTTAGTGATGATGGACCATTTAAGTTCATGCTCACTCCCATCTAAGGGCCTTAACCCTCAGTCTCAACCTCAAGTCGGTTTGGAAACATTATTAAAGAGTTATTTCAAGACTGATTCTTGGACCTCATTATCCCTATTATACTTTTGGAACCCCTTATGGGACAATTGCTTTAAGCTTTCACCCCATAACCTATATTAATATTTAGACTTAATTTCGAACTTGATATCAAACTCGGTCTCAGACTAGGTTTTGGACTCAATTTCAGACTTGATCTCAGACCCAGCCTCGAACTTAGTCCTGCACTCAACTTCGGACTCGGTCTTGGACCTGATCTCGGATCTCGGATTCAATTTCAAACTCAGTCTCGGATTCGGTCTTGGACTTGGTCTTGGACTCGGTCTCGAACTCAATTTTGAAATTGGTCTTGGACTCAATCTCAAACTTGGTCTCATTCAATAAATTTTTTATCATTCCAATTATGGTTTCAGGAATCCTTTAGCCTATAACATTTTGGGGAATTAATTCCTTACACAACCCAAATAACATCATTTTCTTGAAAGATCTTGGGTAAACCAATGATAAAATCTATTGAGATGTTATCCCATTTATTCTCAGGTACATATAAAGGATGATAAAGGCTAATAAGTTTTTAATGATCAACTTTAACTGCCTAATAGGTCAAACAACCATGTATGTACTTTTCAACATCTGACTTCATCCCAGGCAAAAAAAAATGCCTTTTCACCAACATATATGTTTTCAGTACCCCCAATGCCCAACACTTGGCATATCATGACACTCAACAAAAATCTATTTGATGAGTTTGTCCATACAAGGAACCACTATATGTCCCTTCTTCATTAGGATTCTATCTTATATCTCGAATGACACAAACTTGTCACCCTTCAAATCTGTAGAGGCATCCCTCAATAAAACTTTCATGCGAATGTCAATGATAAAGGAGTCAAAGTCAACAAACTCCTTAAACTCATCCAAAAGATTGCTAGATAGCTTCATGAACGAAATAGAATTTACCATCTTAAATAATGCATCACCTACTTTATTGTCACCTCCATGCTTATTGATCATATTTTAACAAACATTTCTTGTAGGAATTCTTGCCAATGAGCAAGGCAGCTTTGAAGATCCTTTTTGTCGACTGAAATACTAGAAAGATTGATGATCTAAATTTATATGGAAGTCATCTATATAGATAATGTCACAATTTCTTCACAACAACAATCACAACATACAACTCCTTGTCTCAAGTAGGTTAATTCTGCTGTGTGGGATCAAACTTATGGCTCATAAATGCAAGAAAATGCCTAACTTGAAGCAATATGGCCCCAATAGCAATATCACTTACATCATTGCCTATTATTAATTATAGATTCCACTATAGTGACTTTAGCATTTGTTGACCCCTTTAGGACAATCCTTGCCTTGATATCTAACCTTGTGGTAATGAAAATAACTACTCTTTACCTTGTCTTTCTCTCGTTGGCCTAAATAAAGTTGCTTAGCCTCATTGCCATTTATATGCTTTGAGCCACGACGGAATAATGATCATTTCTTCCCCAAATATGAAGCATTGGCAGGTTAGTCATCATATTGACTACCCTATAGACCATTTTGTTGACCAGAGTTGACCAAATTAACTAGTGAAAAAATCTGAGCATCAATCAATGTTGTTAGAAAATCCTTTTTGACCTTCTATTGTACATCCACTAAACTCAAACCTTTGATAAAACATTGCACCTTTAGCAAATCATTATAAGTGCCCATGAGACTAATGCAAAAATAATGGAACTTGCAAGCATATACATCTAAAGATAAAGTCCCCTATTGGATCTCTAATAACTGATTCATGAGATTAGTTTTGATGTAGTTCTTCCTGAAGAAGCATAACCTATAAGCTTCATCACAAAAAAATCAATTTTTACCTTATCCTTAGAAGGATTGTGATTCCAACCAAGAATCAACTTCTTGACTATCACAAACATTCAATGATGACTTCTATTCCACAATACCATAATCCTTGGTATACTTGATGTACCAATGGTAATCATGGATATGAGATTAATTCAACTTTTGAGGGTCCATGCAAAGCAAGAAATCCTTAATGAGATTGATGGAATCTTTAACCTTCTTAATGCTGCTTTGAAGTTTCTTTGCTACACAACAACATTATTAAGAGTTTCAATGTTGTTGTTGTTCTCACTGTTGTTCTCACTCCTGTAAAGGAAATTGATTGTGGTGCTCCTAGCTCATATGGAGTGGTGCCCCACATGAGTACCATGTGGTTTATTAATCCTCACTCAGGGCTTGGGCTTTCCCTTTGGGAAAGTGGGGGAGTAAAGGTACCCATATTGAGCCATTAGGCCATAGTGTTTGCCCCTGAGATCCTGAACCAAGTGAGGCACCCAAGGCTTGGGATTTAGAGGATCCTATGATCAAGTCTTGTTGTACCAAGGATTTTAGGAACATGGAGGCTTGATGTGTTTGGCTACTTGTGTTTGCAAAAAGTGTAGCCGAACTTTAAATCCAATCTAACTCAAGGAGGGGGATTAGGAGAGAATTTAGGAATTCATGAATGGATAGCTAACACTTCATTGTTTATGTAGTAAGTATCAAAAACCAAGTAAAACTAAACAGGAGCTAGTACAATAGGCGAGAACCTTGGCAAGGGAACTTAATTAATGCCAAGGCAATGGTGATTGAGTAGACGAGGTAAGCTAGCAAACTAAAAAGGAAAAATTTATGGTTTACAGGTTGTTGTGGATAGTTTAATAAAGATGGTTCACTTCTTCCTAGTGAAGATGACTATTAAAGCTTTTGAACTTGCTTAGTTGTTTATAAACCAATTATTCAATCTCTATGGTTTGTTAGGTGACATTGTGAGTGATCAAGATCCCAAGTTCACGTTTAAGTTTTGGCAAACAATTTTTGAGAAGCTAAAGACTAAGCTAAGCATGAGTAGTGGTGAGCACCCACAATCAAATGGGCAGACAGAGCATATAAATCAGCTATTGGAAGATATGTTAAAGTCTTTTGTAGGAAACTTGACTTGACAGGGAGTATGGGAAAAGTATTTGCCTTTGCTTCACTTTGCTCATAATAGCACTCATCAATCAGCTATTAGTATATCTCCATTTATAGTGATGTATAGTTATAAGCCTAAATCTCCCATAAGTTTGAGTTTAGCTTTGGTTTGGGTATCTCATGCTTGTGATTTCCTGGAAGATATGCAAAACAAGCTTGAGTTGGCAAAGTTGAATTTGAGGCAAGCTCAAGATTGAGACAAAAAATTGGCAGATGAGCATCATTATCATCAAGAGTACAAAATTGGTGACAAGGTTTTCCTTGAGTTGTTAGATGCACAACAGTCTTTGAAAGGAGATGGTAGTCCTAAGTTGTCTCTATAATATTGTGGGCCTTAGACAATTTTACAACATGTGGGAGATCTTGCATACACTTTGGATTTACTAGCTTGTTCGAAAATTCATCCAACATTCCATGTGAGCAAACTTAAGCATGTTTGCACTCTAGTGATGTTGTGGATCAATCCATCATCCAAGTCCTAGAAATTAATGTTGAGAAGGCTTAAAGATTTCCTAATATTCTTTTTCAAAGATTGGTGAAAAACACGCTAGAAAACAACTAGGGAGTCGTTAGTTCAATGGAATGATTAATCCATGGACAAAACTATATGGGAAACTAAAGATGACATGAAGAGAGTGTTTATAAGTTTTGGTTATGACTTAGATGACATTCTTGAGGAAGGGGAGAATTAGGTTCTATAGCCATAGTGTTATATGATTTGAGCCAATTGTTCTATTCTTATTCTCTTGTTTCCATGACCGTATTGTCATATGAGAAAGCTATATTGCTTTTTTTCTTTTGTAGCTACTGTCACAACGTTAGTGTTACCATTTTCACATCTTTTCTCCATGGCTATATTGCCTTGGACTCCCTTCATGTGAGGCTGGTTAGCTTCTCGAGGCTGCCATACGTGGTTGGGTCATGAGGGCACAAACTATAGAATTATTCTAAGAATATTCTATGGTCTATGGGATTTAAGGCCGTATCCCTTTTGTGATATTCTAGAGATTTTTGGTGGAACCTTCATATAATAATTTAAAAAGGTTAAAAGTTGGTGTGAGAATTTTAGAGAAAAATACCTATGATCACAATTGAAAATGTTGATTAAACTCTTGAAATCATCTGTAGCTACTTGGAATTCTTGTACTAGGCAAATAAATTTTTGGACATCAAATAAAAAGGAGCAAAATAAAATATCACCGTGTTTTAATTGTAATGCCCTAGGCTACCTAGGTCATGTGAGACAAAATTTATGATAATGATGAAATTGATGTTTATGAATGACTATATTTTATTCAAATAAACATGTTTAAACAAAATTCATGTTCCCCTAGGTCATGCATGACGAAATTCCCTACACTTAGAAATTTTTTCTTGCGAATACTTTGGGCCAATACATGTGAGCTCCCATGTATGAGCTTGTCCCCCAGCCATGCTGTCATTCCCAGTTTGCCATGTCAAAGCTTATGTGGCAAAGGAGAATGAGATTTAACAAGAGGCATATTCCATGGGGAGAATTGCATAATGTGCCTTTCCCATGCTCACTCCTCGCTCCCTCTGCAGCGTGCTTAAGTCACGCCCAGCTCTGCACCCTAAATGTTTAACAACTAATTATAAATTAGTAAGGCCAAACTT